TGGCTGCTCCAAGAGAGGGGAAGAAGGGCAGGGGACAGAGAAGGCTTCCCAGTTATCTTGCCATGCAGTTTGCAGTTTTTAACCACCTGCCTGCATACCTTCTATATGAACAAATGAATCACTTTCACAAACAGGTTGTGCACACATCTGTGTCTTGCACCAGACTTGTGAATCCCTGGGGGACAAGGGGCGGTGTTGGGGTCACGACTGAATTCCCAGTGCCTGGCACGACTTGGCAGGCAGAGGTTCCCGCAGATGTTGGGTGATGGGTGAGTCAGCTGGAATTCCAGGTAGAATTCCACAGAGACCTTCCCCTCTCCAGGGCACACGCTGGAGGAGCCTGGGAAGGGCTGGCTTAGGGGAAATAGCTCTCAGGGGTGGGAAGCAGACCTACAGAGCTGATTCCTACAGAGTGCGTCCCTGAAAGCGGAATGCAGGTATGCAGATGTATCCAGGCCCTGAGCACCCAAGGCAGCCTCCAGCCAAGGGCTGGATGGACACTTGGGCCACACAGGGCTCTCCGTGCAGGGCGCTGATGTCCTCCTCTCTCCACATAACGGCAAAGGGAACCAGGCATTACCTCGGCACAGTCACAGGGCTAATCGTGTGTCTTACACACAACTGATGGGTTGAGTTCCAGGTTCCCAGGTCTGTGGAAATGCTGTCCATTGAAGCAATGTCAGGCTGACAAGCAGAACTGAGAACCTAGGCCCAAGCAAAGAAGAGCAGGGGACACTTTTGCCATTGGCCGTGACTTGGAGCCGCCCCTCCCCACGTCCCTTGAGTACTTCATCCTTCTGCTCCAGCCAGGACTCCAGAAGAGATGGCCCAATCACCGCCCTCTCTAGAGTCCTGCAGTGGAAAGAGCCTGACTCCCCTGCTGGGTGGAGGAGAAACACCGGCCTCACCTGCCCATCCTGACTGCTACACCGGGGAGGCCTTCCAAACACATCCTGGAGGCTGAAAACAAGCTACAGAAATGAGACAACATCCCGACACTTAAAACACAGGAAATTGTAAACATTTTCCATGGATAAATAAGTGTAAAAGTTTTAGAAGGATAGAAATTTGGCTGCCCATAACCATATCCTCTGTATCCAAGGATTTATCCAAGCCTGGATGGGGAAATTTCAGGAAAAAAAAAAAAGCATCATGGTGTTTTTGGCAGTCTGTGATGGTGTGTCTGTACTGAATGTGCATGCACTTTTTTTCTTGTCATTATTCCAAACAATATACTTCTGTGATAATGAACCTATGGCTCACATGCTGCAGCTGGTTGTTTATTATCATTGAAAGCTCTAAAAATTTCGCCATCAGTGATTAGAGTATAACAACTACTTATGCAGCATTTACATTATATTTGGAAGGCAGCTATGCTCACCACTATACCACCAACGCTACATTATATTTGGTATCCTAAGTAATCTGCAGCAGCCATTAAAAAAAGAATGAAATCCTGTAATGTCTAGCAACATGGATGGGACTGGAAGTCATTAAGTGAAATAAACCAGGCACAGAAAGACACATTGCATGATATCATCGAAAAAAGCTGGTTTTATAGAAGCTGAGAGTAGAATGGTGGTCACCAGAGGCTGAGGACAGTGGTGTAGAGGGCAGGATGGGAAAAGGTTGATCCCGGGGACTAAGTTACAGTTAGGTAGGAGCAAGGAGTTCAACCCAAGAGCACAGTGGGGTAACTGTGGGTAATGATAATGTTCTGTACATGTGGAAAGCTAAAAGGAGTTTGAACATTTTCACCATGAAGAAATGACAGATGTTGGAGGAAATAAATGAGTTTACCTTGATTTAAGCCTTATGCAACATATACATGCACTGAAACATTACATGGTACTAATATGTGCAGTTTTCACAGTTTGGTTTATCAGTTAAAAAGTGAATTTATGTGGGTCGTGGTGGTACATGCCTATAATGCCAGCACCATGGGAGCCTGAGGCAGGAGGATCACAAGTCTGAGTCCATTCTGGACACCTTAGTGAGGCTCTATCTCAAAATTAAAATTAAAAAATTTAAAGGGCTGGGGATATACAAAGGTCTTGGGTCCAATACCATCATCTATCAAGCAACAAAAAAAATCAAAATATAAGGGTGATGCGCTTAGTTTATATGCAAGTGCCACGTCAGTTTGCACGAGGCCCCTGCACATCCGTGAACTGTGCCCACAGGACCCTGGAACCCTCTTCCTGTGGATACTGAGGAACAACTGTGTGGTTCTACACAGGAGGAGGTGGAAGGGGACAGAAGGGCACAGGGAAGAGGGTTTATTCTCATCCTTTTTTCCTTGGGATAGAATTGTTCCTGTTTTACCTGTGCTATCAGAAATATCGTAAAAGGTTTTTGCTCCATTTTGCTTTCTCAGTGAGGCCCATTCTGACCGCCTGCCCTCCTCTCAGTGCCTTAACATTTCAAGGCACACAGCACCCACCACAGTTCCCCGTTATGTTGTTCACTGTGAGCTGGGGACACAGCTCCATGTTGGAACATTTGCCAAGCATGCGAGAGGCCCGATCCCCAGCACCACAACAAAGAAAAACCTTTCTATGCTGTCCACTGTGCTTGTCCCCTTCCTTTCTAGAGATGAACAAACTCCAGCCCACGAGGTGAGTCTCACAGCCTGTTTCAATCCAGCTCAAGAGCTGGTTTTCTATTTTTCAATGGCAGAAAATCAAAAGAAGGAGGATAGTTTATGGCATCTGAAAACTGTATGAAATTCAAATTCCAGCATGTATAAATAAAACGTTACTGTAGCACATGCCTATTTGTTTACATCTTGTCTTGAGCTGCTCTCTGCCAAGAGGGCAAAAGCTAGTTACATGCTTTGAAACTCTAACATACTGTTGGGCCCCTCGCAGATGAGGTGTGCAGACCCCCGGCCGGGACAGCTCAGTGGGAGTACCTGAAGGATCTGTTTTGTCCCTTCTGTGTCTCAAGCGCTTACAACAGCGCCTGGCACACAGTGGGTGCCAGTAACTGGCTGAATGAATGGAAGTACACGAGGCGGAGTGTGCTGCTCCAGCGCGCTAAGGAAAGTGACACCATCTATCACACACACACTCTGCTGGCAGACAACATGCCTACCAGCCCAGAAGGCAGGCTCAGGTCTCTGCACGCAAGGAAAGGCATCTACCAGATGTGCAGTGTGACTCACTCCAGGACCCTAGAGAAGACAGGGTAGACTGGGCAAGGCCTGAATTTGGCACCAACAGCATGGCCCCTGGGCCCCTAGAATACTGTGCTGGTCTTGCTCAGCCACAGGAATGGTCCCAAAGTGAGGCCCTCCATTCACTGCCAATCCCCACCACGTACCCCCACCCCACACTGAGGGTATGGGGCATGGGCAGCACTCTGGTGCCCTCTAGCGGTCGCTTGCCTTAGCCTCCAGGGACACCCCCTTCGGACCACTCAACCTAGGCACTCCCAGTCCTTTCTGGTTCCCTGCTCTGGCTCTCCCTCTGGGATGTCCTCCTAACAAGCTGATGGGGGAGCTGTGGGTAGCTTTTCCTGTGTGTGGTTAGATTGGGTAGGTCCAGGGCTCCTGGGGACTCCTAGGCTAGCAAAGACGCTCCTCCCTCCCTGTCACTACCAACCAGTGCGCACTCCGTGTTGACGGGGTGGGTGGCCTTGGTCCTCATGGGAGAGGGGTCCACCTAGAGGGATGGGCAGAACCAGCCTTATAGTTTCCTTCATACCTGTGGAGGCTGCACCTGCGGGGCCCCACGGTAGAGAACTATTCTGTGTCCCCTTGCGGGAAAGGAAGTTTATCTCTAACACGCCTCAAGCCTCACCTGGCTTGGCCATCATGTGCTGCTCAGCATGTACTCACTGCACCCAGCAACTGTTCCCTACCTGCCTCTGCCAAGAAACAGGTCACGGAGGGCAGGGGCAGGTCAGAGCTGCTGCCTCAGTATCCCTGCCTCCGTCCAGGGCTGGAGTGGACGACAGATGGGAAGGTGAGGAGGGTAGGTGGAAGAATGGACACCCTGAGCTTTGGGGTACTCTGGTCCCAGTGGGGTCACCGCTCCTGCCCACCATTCCCAGCCCATCTCACCCACCATTTCCAAACATCCCGGCCCCTCACTTCCCTCTTTACATACTCCCTCTGCCCTCACCCACTCCCACTTCTCTAGCCACCCTGGGCTCGCTTACACCACCGGGCCCAGAATAGCTTTGGGGACCCTGCAGAAGCTGGAGGCAAAACCTAGAACAGCACTTCACCGAGATGCTGACCCTTCCAGGTTCCCCACGCTCATTCTTAGGCTCTTCACAGCACTTGTTTTCTGTCTTCCCCACCAGAGTGCAGTGCAGCAGGGACCTTGCCCTCCTCTCTCCTGTCTCCAGCACCTAAGCAGATGCTGAGAATACCTGCAGAATGACTATCACACTACAGCCTCTACCGGTTGATACTTCAAGTACACAGGTATTACTCAGAGGTATCAAAGCAGAAGAATATGAGGCAAAACTCTAGTACAATGGGGTCAGACCTATGTAGCTCCCCGCAACAGTGTACCTCCTTCCCCTCTGTTTCTTCAAGAAAAGAAACTCCAATTCACAGGGTGCTGTAAGGTCTGAGGGAGAAAGTGAAAACAAAAGCATTTGAAATTTAAAACTGCAAGAACTTGAATGGCACACTTATGTAATCCCAGCACTCGGGAGGCTGAGGCAGGACTGACACAATTCAAGGCCAGCCTGAATGACACAGTGAGACTCTATCTCAAAAAAATAAAAAGAAAGAAAGACATGCATGCTGTGTTTTGAGTTGCGTTTATTGTAGCATGTCTGGACTACCCAACAGACAGTGCCTGCCAGGGCCCCAAGACACCATCTAGCCCGCACCAGGAGTAATGACGCTGGGCACATGCCCTACACCTGCCCAGCTGGCAGCAGTTCCCAGCATCCCTGGATGGCTGAGCAGCCAGAGCCCCAGCAGGTGACCGTCTCAGAGGGATCTGCAGTGGCAGTGGGGCTAAAGGTGGGTCCTATGCTTTTTGTTTAGCTTGCAGATTTTAAAAATTAAGTTGCCAGGCTCAGATACCTCACAACAAAATCTAAACTTCTGGCTTCTTAAATTTCTGACATCAGACCTGCATTCCCAGGTAACAGCAATTGGCTAAGGTGGAACAGCAGCCAGCACCTGCAGATGCAGATTGGTGTTTTGCCAGTCCCTGCCACTGCCACACCCTACTGTTCTCTAAGGCCACTATCGATTGGACGGTAGCAACTGCTTTCTGTGTGCCGTCTGCATCAACAGCGGTTGTCAAAGGGAAGCAGGCCTCAGCTCTCTAAGGCCAACTTCATTCAGCAAAAACCTGCTGGGCCCTGAGGGATCTGAGACCTCGGGAGCCCACTCCTTCCTTTCTTCAGCAGGCCCAGAGGGCTGAGGTGGGTCCACTCCACACACCCCTTCAGAATACATCTGTGACAGCATACAGCTGAGAAGCAAACTTCCCAAGCCTGAGCTATTCTGCTCCAAGTTTTCAAATGTGGCAGGATCTACAGCACTAGAAAGAAGGGCAGACCTTGCTCTGCTGGGATGAAGATGAGGCTGGGGAAGAAAACAGCCAAACCCAGGAAATGCTGTGCTGGTGCAACCTCTGGTGGCCGCGAGGCAGCTCTGCAAGCCACGGGAACATTTCTCAACTTGAGTTCATCCGTGCCTAGTAAAAACCAGAGGTGGCGAAACTATGGCACACATGCCGCAGCCAGATGTTTGTTATTATTGAAAGCTCTAAAAGGTTTGCCATCACTGTTAAGGACCATCACCCATGGCCCCAAAACACGTTCCTTTCAACCCTCTAGGTGCTGCACCCTCGGATTCCAGCTACTTCATTTGCAAAATCTTCCTGGTCTCCATCTACCACTCAACCACCTTCCTGGGCGTTGCGGCACCCACCTCAGTCCCCAGCAGGGCTTGATCCCTTCTCCGGGCAGCCCCCCATCAGGATGAGGTCCAATCTCCCCATTCTTCATATCCCTGGGCCTCGCTTCAGTCTTGGCCACAGCAGTCTGTGGTATTTGCAAGCAATAATCCGAAGAGGTGGAGGGAGGCCAACTCCCAGCCTACGGAGGTCAGGCAGGGCACTTAGGTGAGAACAGGCCCAGAACGGGGCCTCAGTGACCACAGAAGCTTATGTCCCAGGTGACAATGCCACTGAAGAGCTGGTGTGGCCAGATGGTCATTCTTCAAGAGAAGCAGGGCATCTTGATTTTTATGTGAAAAAAGGTTGTCTCAAATGTATAAACTACCCAGGCCATAGAAGCTTTGCTGGGAGGGTGGGTCTGGGCCAGCAGCCCTGGCTGGAGAGCTCTGTCGAGGCCTTGCAGCTGACAGAACCTCTAAGATGGTGGGCATAAGCCAGTGGTTTTCAAAGTTTTGTTTATTTGAGTAGTTTGTAGCCATCATCATGTTTGATCCTGAGAGGCAAGCAAGAGAGAGAAAATTCTTGGACCTATTTCAGCGTCTGGGACACAGGCCAAAGTGGACTCCTGGGCAAGCTCAAGGTCATAGCTGGTAAAGGGAGCTCTGAGCTTTGTAAGGCAGTGGCCCCAGCAGGAGCAGGCGTCAAAGCCTGCCCCACACAGCCATGCACAGAGAGGTGTGTCCCGGCACAGGCTAGGAGGACACAGGCACACCTCTCCACAGCAGCCCCTCCCCCGGCCTGCACCCTCTTAGCTGCACGCCTCCCAATCCCCTGGAGAGCCCACCTCCCTAACAGTTGCTGAGATGGTGGCTTCCCTGTGCATGTGTGTAGATACACACTTGTACACACCCTCTCCATGCACACAGGGCTACAGGACAAGCAGCCTGGGGCTGCCACAGTGGCTTTCCCTGTGGGCAGACAACATATCCATGCTCACGAACCCCTATGGGGTTCAGGTCCAAGCAGGAACCTCCTGGGGGGCCCCACAAGTGGCCTAGGTGGGGCAGGCGTGTGGCCACGGCCCCTGGCAGCCTCACCAGTTGGCCTTCACTGCCTTGATGTCACTCACGAGGTTCTGGGCCAGGCAGATGCCAAAGATCTGTAAGACAGAGGGCAGGTGAAGGAGGGGCAGTGGGCTCGGGGTAAGGGGAGGGGCATGCTGGGCCATGCAGTACCTGAAGTAGGGCGATGCCCACGAAGACCCCGGCCACAACAATCAGGTTGTCCTGCAGCCACTTCTCAAACTGGCCCACACAGCCTTTGGTGTGGATGAAGCCCTGCTGCTCCAGCTCCTAAGGGCACACAGGCACTGGGCTCAGCCCACCTGCCACTGTGGGCCTCATCTGAGACTTGCTCTCCCTGCATCCTTCAGTCTCCCAAACAAGCTTGTTCCACCTCAGGGCTCGCTCACAAGGACTGAGCACAGCGGAGTCCTTCTTACAGGCCTCAGCCTGGATGCCTCCTCTACTGAGAGGCCTTCATCCAGTGTGCAGCCCCTGTCCCATCGCCTTCCACACTCCCAGCTGAAACCACCGCGACGGTCCTGTCCGTGTGTTTACAGCCGTGAGATTACTCCCTCCACTCCTCGAGGGCAGGGAATCCTCTCGTTACCACTAAATCTCCATGTGGGCGATGTCAGCCACACAGCGAGTGCTCAACAAAGAGGTGGAATGAGCAACACACCAAGGCCCACACCCATAGGCGCTGTCTGCCATACCAGCCCTAGGTCTACAGGTTCTAGGTCTCAGCACCTGCTCCCCACAGAACCCGAGGCCTTGCAGTGAAGCTTGTGTGAGGATTGCTTCCCCATCCCTGTGTCCCCAACTGCTCCCAGACCTGCCCCTGCCTCTCACCAGCTTGAGCCGGACATCATAGCCACACTGGGTGTTAAGGACATCTTCCTGAGGGGAAACAGGCCAGTTAGTGAAGAGTAAGGGGACATCCAACGGGCTGACCAACACGGCATCTAGTGCAATGCAGGGTGTGGGGAGGCCTGGGAACCAGTGCCCATCCCTCAGGGTCCCACTGTGTCCAACTCACCATAATCAGAGCCAGGCTGTGCTGCGGAGAGAGCAGCACCTGCAACCACAGGCTGCCATGTGCCATGACATGTGGCTGAAATGACCTCCCCCAGCACCCAGGCCCCAAGAACCGCAGGGCCAAGTGGACACTATTGTGGGTTTTTCTCAGGCAGGGTCTGCACCCTGCATCATCCCCACCCCTCCTCACTAGGCTCCACTCACCACAGGGTCCCTGACGCAGCAGGAGAAGGGCACCCCACAGCGCTCCCGGCTGGGGTTTAAGTCAGTGCAGTTGAAGTAGATATTGAGGTTCCAGTCGTTGGGCCCACGGGCTCCACAGCAAGACCACTAGGCGCCAGAGGAGAGCCATGGGTGAGCAGGCCCACGACTGACAGCCAGGCCCACCCAGCAAGGACACAGGGCTGGCTAGGAGGGACTTAGAGAGAGCCAGGCAGGTGGGCAACTCCTTACCCCCACAGCAGACAAGCCAGGCCTGTGCCCAAAGGGATTGGAGAGTAGACAGCAGCCTAGAGCTCTAGGGTGGGGAAGCAGTGGGGTAGAGGGAAGCTGGCCCACTAGGCTGGGGGAGTGCAAGGGCGGTGAGGCTCCAGCTCAGCAGCAGCCATGGCAGGGCCCACAGACCACGTCCGTTGGGAGTAAGTCATGGCTGTGTGGCTCTGAGCACACACCTGCCCCTCACCTGCTCAGTGCCTGCTGTCCCTGCTGGAGAAGCATCTCGCCCTCTTTTCACACCATTGTTCCTTCTCCTCCTTTAGGAGGCTTCAAGGTCACCACTCAGGCTTTCTCTTCTCCACCCTTCTCCTTCTCAGCCCTTGCCATAATTTATAATTTCAGTCATGGACACACACTCGTCTGCTTGGCTTATTTATCTTTCATCTCTCTCCCGACTGTCATCCCCAAGTAGGAAAGTCCCACCTTCTTTCACTATCACATCCCCACACCTGGCACAGGGCTGGTGAACTGTAGGTCTGTCTCAGTTCTGTGTTGAGCCACAAGCCCCTGGCTACACGTTCACCTCTGCTATGGGCAGAGAACTCAAGGTGGGTGCCAGCCCTGGGTCATCTTTGGAGCAGGCTGCAGGGCTGACTGTTGGTGATGTATGGCATCTGGGCATTGTGGTTCTGGGAATTTAACTGCCTGTGACTGTGAATGTGGGATCGCATGCGGTGTGAGTAGGCAAGTACATGCAGGTGGGAGGCATCTGAGGTTTCAGAAACTTTCTGGCTGCTGCTTCTTGGGAGTTAGGTTTATGTGGGGGCAGAGCTGCTTTGGGGGTCTCTAATTATGTTCAGAAGTCAATGACAGAAAGCCATGCACAACGTAACGTTTCTGCCAGTGAAGGTGGGCTTGTAAGACTACAATGGAGGGCCGGGAATTTAGCTCAGTGACCCCATGCCTGCCTCGTAAACACAAGGTCCAGAGTTTGATACCTGGCACCACACACACACACAAACACACACACACACACACACACACACACACACACAAGACTATAATGGAGTTTAAAAGCACCTATCTACTGATTCAGAGCTGTCATAAGGCTGTAATGCAACATATAACTCTCCTGTTTGTGGGTAACACTGGTGTAAATAAACCTACTGTGCTGTCAGTCATATAAAATATCACACATACAATTATGTTCCATGCATTACATCTGATGATAATAAATGAATGTTAATGACTTACGTACTGTTATCCTTTTATCATTACCTTGAATTGGAATCTTTCTACTTATTTAAAGCCAAGTGAAGTGGCACACACCTGCAGTCTCAGCTACCTGAGGGGCTGAGGTAGGAGGATGGCTTAAGCCCAGGAGTCCAAGGACAGTCTGGTAATGTAGCAAGGCCCTGTCTCAAAAAAGCTGACTGTAAAACAGTACACCATCACACAGGCAACTTCACAATCTCGTGTTTACCAAACCACTTGACTGCATCAAGAGGCCACATGAAGTGGGTGACCTCAGAGCATCAGTCTGTGAAAATGCCTGCTATGGTGATTGGCAGTGACAGAAGCAACTGATGGCGCATTTCTGAGAATGTACAAGTGACCATGACATAAATGAGAGCAGATGGCTGATGGGTACAATAAAAGTGTTGGGGACAATGACAGAGAGCCCCTCTTCTAGTATAGGGGCAGCAGAAAATGAGCTCTGGCCCAGGGTTTAGTAGAAGGGGAAACCTGTATTTTTAGGTCAAATTTTCTCCACCTAAGTGTGTCACAAGCCCTGGCCTGGGAGCTGTCAACCAGGAGCCACTGTCCTATTCCCCAAGCCTGTGTTTCTGCAAGGCTAGCACATGGGACCCAGGATCTCCTTGGACAGGGCACACCTGGCCCTTCCCTGAGGCCGGCTGGCCGGTGTGGGTGGAGGGTAACCCTGGTGCATAGGGCTCCACTCCCCTCTCATGTACTTACATATTCCTGAGCAAAGTCAATGAGGTTCTGGAGGTCAATGTCATCCCGGTAGGCCTTGACGTTGTTGTTGATGAAGAGGTTGAGCTGGTCTCGAATCCAGTCCTTGAAGACAAAGGCCAGGATCCCTGTCGCCAGCTCCAGGAAGAAGATGAGGCCAAGGAACACGGAGAACTAGGTTGTGGCATATGGACAGTGAGGGCTGGAGACACTGGTCTCTGGGGTACCACAGAGAAGAGCTCCACCCCTCTCCAGCAAGACCCAAGGGAGCCCTGAGTCCCCAGTTCCCATTCTGTTTTATTTTTGCACTGTTTACCTTACCTTTTCTTTCTTCATGTGTGTATGTGTGTGTACTGCTTGTGATTGAACCCAAGGCTCCATATAAGCTAGGCAAACGTTCTACCACTGAGATATACCCTTAGCCCTTTTAGTGCTGTTTTATGATGGTACAAGGCAGGATTTTTTTTTTTTTTTTTTTTTTTTTTTTTTTT